TCCCAGATGTTGGACCAGCATGGTCCATGAGCCTGCTGTAATGCTGTAAGATCTTTGTTTGATCCCGGTGTGGCTTATTTTGATGCTTTATTCTTTTTTCCCATATTGTCATATTTTGAACCTTTGTTAGCTACCCATAATAAGGACATCACATAAATTGAACAAACAAATGCGTAAGTAAATAATATGCCCCAAGAATTTAGAAGGGAAAGGAGAAAAATACTGCAATAACAAAATTATTAGCTGGAAGAAGATCTTAGACTAAATACATTTGATGAACATGTTCAGTAGATCTCTTAAGAGTATTTCACAGCTGAAAAAGCTACTCCAGAAAAGGCTTTTTTCAGGGTAACCTCCTGCCATATTATTGTGAGCAGCAGCATCTCAATAAAAGCTTCAAAAAGCATCTTGGGAGTTTTGCAGATAGTGTTAAGATCAAAACCAACAGCTTTCTGGATGTATTTATTGCTTAAACTATACGGACCCCATTGCACAACAGTTAATTCTGGGAAGTATACAAGGACTGGAACAGCAGTTACAAAACTGATTCATGATGCCTGAGGTATACAATAAGTCCTAATCATTAAAAAAAAAAACACATCCACAGCCCGGCTCACCTAACCTCCTGGTCCAAACGCTGGAGGAAACAAACAGGTCTTGTGAAAGGCTAACTGGATTCCCCTTACTCCCTATGAATCATAGGGAACGATAATGTTTGTTCCATGATATTCTAGCCATTTCATGTTCCTATATAGCTCTTTTTCTGACTGCAGGGGTTGGAAGAGGTTTTGTTAAATCTCCGTTTGGAATACTTCAGCATTGGTGACAGCTTTAATTAATTCTTTAAAAATAAACTGCAATTTCATGAACTGCAGTTGTATTGTATGATTCAGCCAAGGTGTCGCATAGTTAAAAAGTTTCATGAGTGGTAAATGTGTTAGTATTCAGTAATTCTCTCTCTCTCTTTCTCTACCTATACATATTTAAAAAATAGAGAACAAAGCAAGGATTTGCAAAGTCCGTATGTTAACAATACTGAATTTATCAGATTTCATGTTTTGTTTCATATATATTTCTTTCTATATGTCAGGTTACCAGTTTATACAGATCAGATGCATAGAAGGCTATTCAAGAAATCGTATTTTGAGAATTTTGAATACTAAACTCAATATGATAAAAAAAGAGGGAACATTTCAGAGAGCTGTACTTTCCCCAAATTCTTTAAAATGGTGGAACCATGCTAGAAAAGAACATATTAATGATATAAAAATATTAATCAAGGGTTATTAGAGATAGTGGAATGAGAATACTCTTGATAGGCTTCATTTGAGATCTGAAATGAAGTTCACTTGAAAAGAAACTTAGAGGATTTTTAATTTCCCTTTACTCTCACAACCATACATTTAAAATGCCAGTGCTGTTCTATTACAGCTAATGATTGTCTGTGGGCAGTGGATATCTGAAGTTAGCCACCCCAAAGGCAGCCTGCTTCAAAAGACCCCACATAGATGAGAGATGTACTAGCAAAGGTGGGTACCTTAAAAGGATATTGGAAAGATATAGGAGAAAGGGGAAAAATAGATCTCTGCTTGAAGAGGGCGATAGAAAGGGAGAATAGAACCACAAACCCCCACCCCCCCACCCACCCCAAAAAACAGTTTTTAAGTTTTAGTACTTCCAAGCTTGCAAAGTCTAGCAAAATGCCTAAGGCATTCCAAAATATAAGTGAAGCAATTGCAGTCTAATATTAAACTGTGACCTGTATGTATATATGCTAAAAAAATAAGTTATGTACCCAGTCAATCCACATTTTAAAAAGCTGGATTTTAGCAACCAATTTGCATATGTTTGAGTTACATTTTGAACAATGTAATTGTTTTGCTAATTTGGGGTGTGTGGTATTACATATAACCCTAAACTCTACCCACTAATGGCTGGTGAATTTTATACACCTACTTTGGGCCACATTAGCATTGTCTTCGTATGTTCAGGCGTATCTCTGTAAATATAAGGACTACCTGTAGAACCTTTTTACAAGTGAATGCTAGTATTCAAAAAGTTACTGCTACCTATTATTAAGAGTCTATCCTTTCTATATGCTTATAAAAATTTTGCAGAAATATCAGAATAGAGAAAAAGAAACCTTGTGGCATCTTGCTTTTTTATCTAGACATTTTATCTCTTTTTAATGTTAGCTAATTTTGGAGTGGTAACTGACTTAATGAGAGCCAGTTTGGTGTAGTGGTTAAGACACCAGGCTAGAAACCAGGAGGTGACTTCTAGTCCTGCCTTAAGACACCAACTTACTGGGTGACTGAGCCAATCACACTCTCTCAACCCTGGGAAGAAGGCAAGGGCAAACCACTTCCAAAATCTTGCCAAGAAAACTGCAATGAATTGTTGTTGCCAGGAGTCATCACTAACTCAAAGGCAAACACGCACAAACACTGTCTTAAAGGCAAAATAAACATGCAGTAAATATTTTCAATAAGAAATTCAAGAACGGAAGGAAGCATGGAAACCAATGGAATACTTTTCTTGGGCTTTTACATGGAACAAAATTACATCTTATCTCCTCTACTACTCACTACTACTAGTGAGAAGAATTCATCAATTTGTCTTTTGCAATCAGATTACACAGAAATTAGCTTTGGGTACATGGCTGCCTGGCTGGCTGACTTCTTTGTGCCACTGTAACTAAAGGCCATGGAATTCCAGAAGCTTCTATTTGCCTGTATGGAAAAGATGCCTGAACATGTTTAAGAAGTTTTTCATCCTTAGATCAAGGACTCTTTGAAGCAGAGTCTCTATGAGAAACTCATCAGACTTATGCAAATTATGCATACTTTGCTTACATATAAGGAGAAGGCAACTGTCCTCAGAGTATTGAGAAGAAATAGGTTGGGAGAACTCTCTCCAAGACTTACCTTTGAATATAAATCTCTACGGAAATATGATAGTTCTCTTACTTGGCTATAAAAATTGAGATAGCCACTAGATGTCAGAAAAGAGATATAGAAAGTACTACTTCTTTACTGCCATCTAGTGGGTGCCTCAAATTTTGCAGCTCAGATGTAGCAGTTTTAGGAGAGATCCTAATTGAAACATGAAACTAGGTGGATAAATTTTGGCCAGTTATTCTTCCTCAGCATAAACTGCTCACAGGACTGATTTTGTGGGAATATAAATGGAACTCCTGTGTACACCAGCTTGAAATCAAACAGGATAGGAATTCATTAAAAAATAAATAAATAAATAAAAAGGCATATGCTGTAAATCAAATAACTGTTCTTTTGGCTACCTGGTGCTTACAGTACACTTGAGCAACATTACTTCAGCCTGTTAGGTTATAGCTAATCAGAAAAGGACAAACCTAGCCTAGGCTTTTGAAGTTTCTATTTTTTACCTCTTCTATATATTCCCACATGCTGAGGAATTCTTCAATATCAGTCATAGAAACCCAAGGACTTGTAAAGAAGTCTGGAGTATGTTTTAAGGAGTATGTGTGCCTTAATAATCCTCAAGTCTCCAAAAATGACTAGAAAACAAAACAAAACAGATCTTTACAGCTATTGATCTATGAAGATTAGCATGTTGAAATGAAGTGAAAAGATGCTTGCTTTCCGAGTTCAGCACAACAGTAAGCCAAGCAATATATCTACTTATACTTATTTAATCAGCACACTTAAATTCATTAACACTAATAGTCAATTTATTATAAATCTTCTATAAAGCTGAAAACCTCACATAATGCTTCAACTAATAGTAGTACCAACTTGTTCCTTCAGATTTAAATTTTATTTAACAGCATTCTCTCCTCCCCGCCCCTTCTGCTTTCTGTTACAAAATGTTAATTAGAATTTAAAAGGAAACAGCATATTGTGGGAGAGGGCAGTCAGTGAACCAAACCAGCAAGAATTCTGACACACAGATAAAGGCAGGATTTAGCATATTATCTATTAAAACTCAGAACGCTGGAAGACAAAAATTGGAAAAAACCAAACTTGATGTGCATTTAACATCTCCGTAAGGCATTTAAAATGACCCACCATACATTTTCTATGTATGCCTCAATACATAGAAAAAAGGGCAGCAAGGCACTGGTTAATAACTGGGAAGCACAACTTCAACAATACCCACAGTTTTCTCTAAAAATGAGTTACAGGTTTGCTGTTGCTACACTGTCTCTCTCTTTTGCATTTCACAGTCAAATCATGAAGTTGGGCTTGTAAGATGTATTACAACCCAAAACAGCAATCTTTTGCTTTCCAAGCCTCCAGTCACACCAATTTCTACCCAAACATCCACAGACAATTGGACTGAGAAAGGGAGTTTGAGCTTTCCATTCTACTGAAAATCCTTATCAAACAGCACCGTGTTGTTGTTATGAACTGCTGGACTCCTGAACAGGATTGAGAACTTGAGAGGATCTATGTGTTAAAATAGTTAAATGGGGAACATCTCGTTTGCTCTGCGTGGGAACCTTCAAGCACCGGGCCACTCTGGCAAACTCCGAAGCAAAACAGGTTGCTAACTTCAGAGAGGGCTAAGCTCACTCGGGCTCTGCAAACTGTCCCACGAGTATCTTTTCCAAGCAACCCGAGAGTGCTTTTTCCGCCTCAATAAGCAATTACGTTGTTTGCTCTGCCCGCGGCAACTGCGAGGACTGTGGGTGCCGAGAGGACGGAGGGAAGGCGGCCGGGCCAGCTCTCCAGGTAGAGGGAAGGGCGCACTTTATAGTTGCCAAGCAAGCTGTGGGACCGAGGAAACAGCGTCCTGGCTATACCTGGAGAGCGGCGAGCGGTGGAGGAAATGGCCCCGGCAAGCGAAGACAACCGAACCGCTTTAGTTATAAACAGCAGCAAAAGGCGTCTCAATCCGGACACAAATCCCACAGCGCGGCGCACTCTCTGGGCGCAGCCCTTGGCTATTCCCGAGTACCTGGGCTCCTCTCCCGCCGCCGCCACCCCCCGCACGTGGTAAGAGCGCTTTGAACCCACCGCTTGCCCCCGTGGCTGTGGCCGCCGCCGCCGCCGCTGCTGGTGGTCCCGTGGAACGAAGACGGCCAGGACATGCGAGACTTCTTCAGGCCGGGACGGTCGCTCGTGTCCATGGCGTCCGCCCTCTCGATCTGGCGGTGGGGGTGCCGCTCCGTGTCCGAGTAGCCGCGATGCTTGATTTTGATGGGCGTCCGGGGCTGCCTCCAAAGGTGTTGGGGCGGCTTGAGGGTGGCCTGACCCTCCCGCGGCACCGGCAGCGAGAGGGACAGGCTCTTCTTCGAGCAGGGCGGCGCCGGCGCCTCCATCCTCTTCGTAGGCTTCGGACCGAGCCAAGAAAACCGCGCCCGGGACAGGCAGGAGGCAGCCTAGCCGCGGCTGCAGACCCCGACCGAGGACGGACAGCGAACAGCCGCTCTTTCCCTCAAGCGGCAGGGCAGGTTACAAACTCCGCCAGAATATCGCCCTCATGTCTAGTTGGGCTCCCACAGGGAGTCCCGAGCCGCTCTCGAGTTCTGTCCAGGCGCCCGCTTCATAGCGAGCAACTCGCAGCCTTTCCGGAGCGACTTCTGCTGGCGCTCCGGCTGCGGCGGTGGCCAAAGACGCTCGCGCCTAGAGCCGACGGAGCGTCCCTCCCGCTCCCCCGCGCGCGACTACGCCACCAACGAGAGCCTCCGGGAGGGAGGGGGAAGCGCGCCGCCGGTGGGGCTGTGGGGCGTGCAGGCGGTGGGAGGAACTAGCGAAGAAGGAGGGGAAGCACCGGGGGTCGCCTACCGCCCGCGTGGTCCCCACCCGCCTGGAAAAGCTAAAGAGGCGTGGGCGTGCGCTTTATTAGAAGTCCGCAATTCCGCGAGGAAGAACTGTGCCTCTTGGCGGAGGAGCTCTCGCCCAGCCCTTACTCCAAAAAAGCAGATCGTCGCCCCCTCTTCTCCCCTGCTTGCACGCTCATTTCCCCCTCATAAGTTAGGACGTTATGGCAGTGAAATATTTGAAAGAACTAGAATGCCCATGAGGGTCTATAGGCGGCGTTTAACTGCAGACTCCTCATTCCAAAAGCGCCAACGCGACTACGTGGGTATAAAACTGCACTTGCTTTCCAAATGTGTTGGGACTACAACTACCAGCATTCCCAGTACAACCATTCTGGTACCTGTACTCTTAATTTAACAATTAACCAGTAGAACAACTTGCCTCCCGAACTCGTAGGCGCTCCATCACTGGATGTTTTTAAAGAAGAGTCTAGACAGTCACTTATCTAAAATGGTATAGGTTTTCCTGCTTGAGCAGGGGGCTAGACTAGAAGACCTCCAAGGTCCCTTCCAGCTCATCTAAGTGCCTGGAAGGCACCAAGTTGAGAAAAATCTGTTCTACCAAACAAAGACAGGAGAGGGCGACAGAGGGCAAACTGCCCATTTACATTCCATTTTAGGACTCTATTTACCCAGAATGTTGAGGTATAACATGCTTGTGTATTTCTTAGTTACTTTGAGAACTTAGTTACTACTAGGATGTGTGAACTATACTGTGTGTGAACCCAACTCTCCTTTTTTCTTTAAAATGAATCACTCCAAACTCCTTTTCTTAGCGTCTAAAATAGTTGAGGGCTGTGGCTTTCTGTGGTGACATCAGTGGCTACTTTATAGCAAGCATCCTGCAATAGATGGTTGCACCAGAACTATCTTTATAGGGTAAAAATGGCTGCTAATAGCCCAACATCTCTTTATGACTCTTTTATATTTATAAATATATGTTTTATATTTGTACCCATAACTGCAGTACTTCCTGCAGGATAAAAACAAGCGAACGAAAAAGGAAGCTTTTATGTAAATTGTACTTGGTTTCCTGGGATTGCAATACCTATTCCAGCAGATCAAACAAGGGGCCACCTTTTCCCAACCTGTAAGTGTGTTATGGCACCAGGCAGGAAAGTTCTCTTTTAGCATCCTTCCTAAAAGGAATGGGCCCTGTCCAAGAGAAATCCATGGATCTGATCACTCTCATGCCTATACACGGGCAGAAGAAAAATGGAGCCAATCAAGCTGACTCACCCAGCAGATTATTTCCACTGCAGCCATTCAGATCGTCCTGTGGGAAAGCACAGAGCAGGAAAGCACTAAGAAGGGGCCTCCGCTGTGGTTTCCTACAGATCTTGCTGGTTTATAGTCTGCATAATCCTGAATATCCTGGCTGGGGCTGTGGGAAATTCTAGTCATATAACAGCAGATTAGCATAGATTCCCTACCCCTGGGGAATCTCTATTATTTGTTTCTAGCGTCTCTTATACCCCTTCTGAAGATTTTCTTTTTTTACTTCTACAGACCCTACAGATGGCTATGTACGCAAGCCTTTATCCAGCATAAGAAAGCTCTCTCTCTCTCTCTCTCTCTATTGCTGTCCTGACTAAAGACTAAAGAAGAGGCAGCCTTTCTTTCAATCGTGCAAACTGGTCTCTGCTTTAAGGGCTTGGAAGCAAAAGACAGTTTCCTATCACTGCTGGTTTATTGTAACACTCCCAACAGACACAGCATTACTATGGCAGTTTAACACACCCAAAGCTTCATTTTCAGCTTGTCTTTAGACAAGAAGAGCCCACGCAGGCTAGCTGGTTTGCATGGTAAGGGGACAATATAAATTGTTCCAGGGTGTGCTTTATGGAAGCTATTTTTATCCTTCCAGACAAAAATAGATGTTGAGAATATAATTTTGTTCTCCAGAGTTCATGACAACCAATGCAAATTACACAAGATGCTACTCAAGCCTTGACAATCAATAGGTGTAAATTCTACAAAATGAGGCGAAACCAGCCACAAGTACATTTGGGAAAAGGACTAAAAGAGAAAAAGGAGGAAAGAAGACTGGAAATAAGTCAGGAGGCCGCTTGCAAAAAATATGTAAGTGGAGCAACTGAATTGTTTCTTGAGCATGTACAGAGTACTGCTCTTCGTTTCCTTTAACACTTACCGCTTTTGTAAAGCCTCTTTTGAACCTTATACTCCATGCCCTAGTGAATGAACTGATTAATGTACATCCTGCCTTCCTGGATTTCTTAAATGTGACATCAGAAATGGGAGTTTGAAGAGGGAAACAGAGTCCATGCCAAAAGTGTGACTTTTTGACTTTTACACTGAACGTTTACAAACCAGAAGCCTTGTGGAAAATGGACAGAGGTATGACGAGAGACTCCAGTCCCAGTAATCCTTCCAGCCTGTCCACCATTTGGGACATATGTAATAGTCAAAATGGACTAATAGGGCAAGGGGCAGAAAAATCTTTTAACATTAGTGGATAATTTCATCTCAGAATAGGGTAAAACAATTATTTTCTGTCTCGTGTAATACCCATCTTAATTATTTTCACAAATAAAAATATTATTGCAGAAAACAATGCACAATAGCACTGACAAAGAAATCAAGTCCTATAATTTAAAAAAAATATCAGCGTTGGGTCATTTGAGCTAATATATTCAAATGCCCAGGACAGGTCCTCTATATGGTATGAAACCCAATGCTGTTTTGCCTTCCCAAGGCATGGATCATGGCAGCCCAATGCTTATTCAAGGTCTATTTTATAAACCTCAGAACTGTTTTGAAGTTTCATGCAGATGTGGAATAAGAAGCTAATTGCCTAGTTCTGCATCACTGCACACAGCCTACACCAGAAACCAGATGCAACCTAGCTTGACTTAGCTAGGCAGCTCTATAAGTAGAGCCTGCAGCCTGCTAAGATGTCTCACAAGCCAACAGTTAGAGAAGCATCTTGCACAGCACATGGCTTGAGAAAAAGCTAATTTTAGACTGGATTATTTTTTTTGTCAATGAAGAAAAACAGAATACCCACCCCCTGATCACATGCTTTAGTTAAAAAAAAACAAAAAAAAAACCCTTCCAAGCCCTAAGGCACTTAAAAACAATTTCATTTCCTGCATGCTGTCCCTCCCAATACTGTTCTGTTTGCTTCAGAGAGGAAAAAAAACATGGCAGCACTGAGAGAAACTTCTAGACCAGTGGTCACCAACTGGTGGTCTGTAGACCACTGGTGGTCTGTGAGAAAATTTTGGTGGTCCGCAGAAAAATTATTTGCATTTTTTTCTATTGCACTAAATCAGGGGTCCTCAAACTACAGCCCCTGAGACAGATACATGGAATGAACCTTTGTGTTGCTGCAGCAAGACCCCTTTGAGGTTGGAGGGGGGAAAGAAATTCTGACTTGGGGTCTGCTTCAGCCTCCCGGTGCAGGGCTTTGGGGGAAGGCTGGAGGGAAGTGCCACTGGTGGCAAAGAACCGGAGGGCCTTGTTCCAGTGGGACTGCATCATGGCCTGGAACTGGCTGACCATCTCAGCCCACTGAGCCTCTAGGCGCCGGTACCTGGCCTTGCACTCCCGCAGGTCTTCCCTCTGCTTGGAAAGCCTATGCTCGAAGTCCTCAGTGAGGTGTTTCTGCTGAGCCTCCTTCTCAGTCAGATCCAGTTTGAACTGAGCCAGCTGTTTTGCCGACTCTTTCTCGTGGTGGCTGCTTAGCGCCAACAACTGCTTCCTGTTGGGGCCCTAAGGAGCACGGGGTGGCAGGCAAGGAATGGCTGGGAGGGGATGGGTGAGTAGAGGCTGGCGAGGCGCCCCTTAACATGAGTGACATAGAGTTGGCCACGCCCACCCAGTCACATGAGCACCTAACCACACCCACCCAGCCAGTCATTAGGCAGATCATATTAGTTGTCCACAGGATTTAAAATTATGAATTTAGTGGTCCCTGAGGTCCGAAAGGTTGGTGAACCCTGTTCTAGACTATCCAAAATATGTGTTATATTGAGTCAAGAATAGAAACTTGTAAGTGCTAAACTCAACGTTCTAACAGGTGCAACTGGTACTGGTTTTTTGTAATTTCAAATCAGATTATTGTTAATGTAACTACTCATTCGTAAGATAAAATAAGTAAAAAAAAAAAAGACTAGCAGGAATTTGTATTAGCTTTTCCCCTTTTTTTCTGGGTGAAACTCAATGTAACGTTCTTATTTCATCATACAGATTTAGAAAATACTGTGATGTATCAGTCTTGGATCAGACCTTAGGTTACTAAGGTTACACAAGAAGATATTTATGATTTTCTCATGAACTATATAATTACAGTCTCCTAACTCTTTACAGAGAATTTGTAGGAGAAGAGGAAGCAGAGCACGGGGACGGAGTCAAGAGAGGAATCTACCTAAAGCTGTGATGGCGAACCTATGGCAAGTGTGGCAGAGGTGGCACATAGCACCCTCTCTGTGGGCACACGAGCCGTCACCTCAGTTCAGTTCCACCGTGCATGCGCACGCACCTCCCGCCAGCTAGCTGGTCTCCGGGCCTGTGCCATGCATGCGTGGGGGCGGGGCACATGTGCAGGGCTCCGCGCGCATTGCATTTTGGGGGTTCATGCACGCTTTTGTGCGCATGCTTTGGGCACGTGATCCGGAAAAGGTTAGCCATCTCTGACCTAGAGTAATTATGTTCCCATAAGTGATCCAAATCCAGCCCCCTCTTGAATTCTGCTAATTCTTAACTAGCACCAATTTAGTGCTGACAGTTGACTAGATTCTTGTGCATAGGCAGAAGCCATAAAACAGTTTAATTAAAACTTAATGTGTGGACCTGATTCTTTGCACCTGATAGAATTATTTTATTTGGTGCCATCTTGTGCCCACCTGGAGCATTTCTTTTGCATTTTCTTGTCCAATAAAAGTCATTAGGTTTCAATTAAATTTTAAAGTTTCAAATTAAAAGGAGACCTATATTTTATATTCTTCCTTCACCTTCATTTTATTGCAGCTATTAAAATCTCACAGACAGAATGAAATGCCCTGACATTATACAGCCGGTAGCATTACTGTAACATTACTGAAATTATTTCAGCTTTTTAAACTTTTCGTTTCCAGAAAGACCACATAGGTTGTGAACTCCATTTCTCTCTCACTCCAGGTTTGGAGGGGCATTCCAGGTGAGACATGGTGATCTAGCCTCTGTTTGAAGGTCCCTGGGAGAGGGGAACATATTAAGGGTAAACCTCATTAAGCATCTACTCATTCAGTGAGTGGCCATTCAAAGTTGTCACAA